AGATTTAATCTTATAAAAATTTTCATTTTCTCTAATTGTCATGATTCCTAGGCTATCTGGACAAGACTAATCTGACGGAGAAGCTATTACATTTTTCATCATAGAGAAGCACAACACTTATCTCACAGTATTACTTGCTTTCAGTTGTTGTTAGCATCAATTGGCTAAGAATGAATTAGAAGAGGTTGAAAGGTAAAAAAATGCCACTAACACAGTAAGAATTTAAAGATTCATGCTTTTAATTGAAATTTCATTGTTATTTATGTTTCTTACAGTTTATAATGTTATAAATTCAAAACACATACATAAGTTTTAAATTATAGATATTAAATGGATTTTAAAATTTTTGATCAAATTCCTACTTATGACAAAACTGATGTCTGGTTCAAAAGGATTTCAGTGTTTTCACTGGTATCGTTGAAAATTTGAATTACATTTTTTGGCTACCACCCTTACCCCCCCCTTCCTCATTGTCTGAGTTTTGGGAAGTAAAATGCCTGCATATGGATACATTCTGCAAGGGAATCCAGATGCTCTCCTCCTAACATTTTGCAAGGACCTTGAGCACATTTTCTTCATCACAGGGGTTTGGCTACCTGGTCACAGTAGGAATGCAGCTGTGGTAAAAACAGCGCAGCACTGAAGCAAAGCTGTTTGACAAAATGTCACATAAGCCTCAGCAGGGGTTTACCCCTCTTCTCTCAGGAGCTGTTTTTTCTTTTTTATTTATTTGTTTGGGGTTGTGGTTTTGTTGTTGTTGTCTTTTTGTTTGTTTTTTTGTCATTTCTCCTTCAGGAGTTCTTGGGAGATCCTCTTGGACTCTGCACAAGCTACTGTGCGAGTATACCTTTACCCAGCCTTGTACCTTCCTAATTCTGACCTTCTGACCTGACTTTTGGGCTTGACCTTGGACCTACCTCATCACTATTAATCTTGTCTGTCAGTCTGAATAATTGTTTGGACTCGATCTGCTCTGTTCCTTCACAGGGGCTGCAGACTTTGTTGGCAGGATTCTGCTCCTGTCTGTCTTGCTGAGCCTGAGCTCCCAGCTCACCTTGCTTTTCCTTGCTGCTCCCTGAGACATATCAGATCTTTTTCATTAGGATCTGGAACCTGTTGACTGATTTATCCCACAGAAAACTATGTTTTCAAATTAAATCTGGGCTGTTGAGGAAAGGTTCTGTGCCTCAGTACTCTCATCTTGAATTACTATATTGCCTATCCACGCTATTTTATTCACATCCTGATTTTAACACAGTTTTGTTTCTTGAATAGTATTATGAGTATACGTCTTAACATAATAATAAGTTACTGAAGTCTTTTTATGATATCTGAAAATCTTTATTTTCAAAGATGTTTGTGATGATATGTCAGATTTAATATTTTTTAACTGTCATTTCTTTTTCTTTCATTATTTGGAGGAACTAATGCTGGCTTAAAGGATATTGACTTCTGTTTCTTAAAGCTATTCATCTGAAAACAATTTCCAATGTAATGCAAGAATAATTTCAAAATCAGTTAACTGTAAGCTCAGGCATGCCCCAGACGTATGTTACATGGAAGTTTTCCCACAAGAATCTGGTTTCTAAGTGCAACTAGCTGTGTCTGTGGTACTGTTTCCTTCAATATAAGGCTGATAGAGTAATGATAAGAACAAGGAATGAGGCACTAATTTAATCATGGCATGTTTCATAGTCTAATATAGATAACTAAAGAAATATCATAGGGAGAATCTATTTTGCATCTCTATAGTGCCACCTACCTTTTCATCCTATACTTTCCCATACACAGGTCTACATGTAAAATACCTATATTATACTCTTTGAGGAGAAAGCAGAATCCGTGAAAAGTCCCTGAGATTGTAGTTCTAATAGACCTGTGCTGGTGCCTATGCAAGCTCAAGAGCTGTCACAAAACTTATTTGACCACATATAATCTAGCTTGCAGTGTGACCTGTTGGAATAAGTAAAGGCAAAGGAATTTTTGTTAACGCTATTAGTTTAATGAAAACTCAGAGGAATATTTGGTCTTAGGGATTATTATAACTTAATAGCATATCTTATAAGTATTTGTTTTCCTTCTCTTGTGGGAAGCTATTCTTAGACTCCATTAAATTATTTTCCCTAGCTTTCACAATAAATTTTACATCTCCATCCTCTCCTTAACATCACACTGGGGCTTGGCCAGGCAGTTATTAAAAATAATATTGTTTTTTATTTTGTGTCTGAGCATAGCTTTTCTCTCAGTCCTCAGATATACCCGTGAAAATGTAATAGAGTTCTTAAACCCTTGTGTTTCATGTCTAGAATCTATTAAGATATTATCAATATGTACACTATTTATCTAAAACATTGTAGTACAAACATGAATGATATTATGAAATATTATTGACAGTGTTTAATTCTTTCCATAAGTCTTCCATAATTAAATTAATCAAATTAATAATTAGATCTTACAATGATCAATATACATCTTGTTTCAGTCATTTCAACTTGAAAAGCTTTTAGATGTGAGGTGAAAAATTAATTATTACAAAAATAAATAAATTGGGTGCAGTTGCCTCTTGTGAAACATACCAATCCTGAAACTTTAAAGTAGCAAGCTTGTAAGTTTATACTTTCATCTGACCTGTACTGAAAATAAAACTTAATGTCTATCTTTACAGACATATCATTTAAACAAAAACTTTAAACAGCCTCAGGGCTGTTTGACAAGAATTGAAAGTTTTTCCTGTTAGTTTCATTCAGTCTTCTCACACATCCTTGAGTGATTGTTAATGAAGAACAGAAAAGTGTTAATGTTACAAGGTGCAAGAGAGGGTACATTATTTTTTTTATAATATCTGAGCAAATAAAACACAAGGTTTGTTTTTTCCTAGAAATCCCTAACATATCCATCTTCTCACAGATGGGTCTATATAGGTGCTAAGGCTGAAGTCTATAGTCCTGTAGAGAGTGAAAACATCATTGTACTATTCCCTATTGTCTTTGCTTCAGTGGAAGTCATTTCACGTTACTTCAGTTGGAAAAGAAATAAAATTAATGGCTTCAGGAAGCTTGGGAATTTTAACACTTTTTCCATTTCAAAGCATGGAGAAGACGCCTGTATGTCTCGAACTGGCTCATGTATCTCAGGTAATACTGCTAGACCTAAAATCACCATTAGTCTCTATATAGAGATACATACCAAAGATATACATAAGTTCTGAGCAGCTTTCTGAAGTCTTTCTCACAATACATAGTTTTGTGCACCAGTGACCATGTTTACTGTGATAAAATGACAATTTAAGAGCAGAAGACTAGTGCAATGCAACAGTTATTTGATCACTGAACAGAATAATTCGAACGTATGCAAAATAAGATGCCTGTATACAGCTTGAAACAATTTCATAGTAGTACAGAATTATGTGATGCAAAATACATGTATGTTTTCCAACACTGACTTTAAAAATTTTTATTTTTTCACTTGGAATATAATATGTGTTATTGTATGATTAAAATAAAGGATGAATCATTCCACGGTAGGGTGACATTTAAGTAATACACTGAGGAAAAATAAGTTGTATAAGTACATTGAGATAGAATAATAATAGCACAGTACTGCTTGTATTGCCTACAATACACTACTATTCTGAACATTAAACACTCAATATAGCTGTAAAAATCTAAACTGTAATATACATGCATTTACTCTTTCCTCCCAGTGTCAATTAATCCCTCCCATGTGACCCAGTTTCTTAAAATCTCTATTTTGGCACAGTTACAATAAAATCGCATTATCGACTATTTAGCTATATTGGTACAAATCAGGCCATTATACTAACTTCAAAAGGAATGACTTGCTAAAAACCTGTGGGTAGCTGTGAAGTGTGCTGTCCTTGTGGGCTGCTACATGCTACTACTTTAACTTTGCGGTTATAGACATCTTACATGTATAATCCCTGAAGTCTCCCTGGAGAACCACTTTTAAAATGTAAGTTTTCTTTCTTATCTTTGTCAAGTAACAATGTGATTCTTAAAATAGCCCAGAATTGTCATGTTGTATGCTACAGTCTGTTTACTGTGTTCCAGAGCTAGACTGTGTGTTGGTAACAAGCATGGCTAACTCCGCATCAGTAGTGAATGCACAATGATATTGAACTCTGCTTCTTTACATATCTGAGTTTTCTTTTTAAGGTTTCCTTCACTTTTAAACACAGGACTTAAGTTTATTTCAGGCTGTTGTCATCACAGTTCCAGAGCTATGTATCAAAAGAATGCTTGCATTGAAATCACAGCATTACTTCAGCTAGCAAAAGTCTGCTGGGCAGAAAGTAGAAAAACCATATGAACCTTAGTTTTCTACTCAGGTCATAATTTATGGATCTGTTGCTATCTTTCACAATACAAACCCTAGGCTACTAGTAGTACAGCAAATGCTTTCCCTCTCAAGGGAAATCCTGCAGACCATATCCTCTGTTCACTCAGCTATTATCTTTCTGTTTCTGTATAAAGCTTCTCTGATCTAACACAATCCTTGATTTTTATTTTACTGAAAAGAACTGACAGTAAAAAGAAGTCTATATATTCCCAAATCAGATTATCTTCCATAACTTTTACATATAGACACTTTGCACCTGAAGAATTTCAAGATCATTAATGTTACAATTCCTGCTAAAAGCAGTGATAAAATTCACAGTGATAAAAAAAAAACCAACACAAAAAGCAGTGATAAAATAGGGAAACCCTTACTATGTACAGGTGAAGGACAGGCACAGCCTTCAGCTCGCAAAATGTGAAATCTTATTCGAGGCAGTGCAATGTTAAAAAGCCATTTGCGAAGCTTAGACCCCATGCATGTAGCTCCTGTGCCCACAGTCTGGCTTCCAAAGGTTAGCCGCCCGGGCGTTAGTGGTGAGGAAATGCGGTGACCGCGGTCGCCCTCCACGCCAGTATCGGGTATTTCAGCCGCTCGGGAAAACCGGCGGGGGGACTTTTGCTTCCCCGAGGAAAACAACTCACCTGAGCAGTACCGCTGCTTCCCACAGGTAAAATCCCGACACAGCCGCTCGGAGGTACCTAATCCGGGCCATGCTGCTCGGAGGCTCAGCAGAGCCCTGGAGCGGTGGTGTCCGAGGCATCGGAAGTGCTCCGCAGCTCGGCTCGGCTCGGTTCGGCGCGGAGCTGAGCGGCTCCTCGCGGGCGGGAGCGTCCCAAGCACCCTGGAGAGCTCCGGCAGCGCCGCGCCCGCCGCCCGCCTAGTGCCCTGCGTCTCCCCGCGCCCTCCCGCTGGGCCCCGCCGCGCCCGCCCCGCCGCTCCGCATCGCAGCAGAGTGGCCGCCTAATCCCAGCCGCGGCGGCGGCAGGAGCCCACCGCTCCGCCCGCCTGGCCCCGGCTCCTGCCAGCAGCCGGCACCCCGCAGCCGACCGCATCCCGGGCGAGGGGGGTGCCGCGGCGCCGGCGGCGCGGGGCGGGCGGGGTGGCAAGGCGGGGGCTGGACATGGCCGTCCCCCCCGCAGCGCTGTGTCTTGCGGAGGCCGGCGGGGCGGGACCGGACCGGGGACAACGAGGGGGCGCCCTGAAGGGGCTGCCCCTGGAAGGGAAGATGACACCGCTAGGGGCGCGGGGAGGGCTTATCTGGGGGTCGGGTCAGGTGTTTGCTCTCAGAAGAGCCCCTGACTGAATGTCTGCCCCTGCGGGAAGAGGGATGGGAGTTATTATGCTTTGCCTATAGCACCTATAACGCTTTTCTTAGGAAATAGGGGGGGAAAAAAATCCTGTTTCAGTCTCCTCTGAAAGTTCGGTGCTGATGGACACACAAAAAGTATATCCTGTTCAATTCCACTTTCTAGAAAAGATGGTCTAGTGCCATGAGGCAGACTACTAGGGAGATCAAAAGAGTTTGAAAGTTTTTCTGGGGAGAAGCGTGGAAGGGATTATGGGAAGCAATAGGGAAAGAACATTGTAAGGGAGAAATTTGAAAGTTATTAATGAGAAGAGGGAGGAACAGAGAATGAGTTTACAAGTACAGGTGACAGTAGGAAGGAGAAATGATTACGGTTATTGTTAGAGAAAACAAACAACATTTCATGCAAGTCAGGAGCTGCTTGTATTAGAAAAGGATAAAGATTTCTGAGTGATCTTGAGAAATATTTTTTGAGAAATTCTTGTGAAATCTGTGTGGTTTGTGTATGCAGTAAAATAATAAATGTGAGGAAGGGACATATACCTGGAGAGGGACAGAAGAGGAAATTATGTCTGAGATTGTAAAGTTGGGATGTTTTGTGCATCTAAAAACAATGGCCTTTGAACACCAGCATCATGTCTTGGAGAGCCAATGAAAGGGGAACTATGGGAGTAGTTCAGGGAGAGGTCTCTGCATATGTGAAATATATCTGGCTAGGCACTTTCTTCTCAGTGTTAGCCTCAATATAATCTGCTGGCTTCCTTTCCCCTAATAGCCGCTAATTTGTGTTAGATGTTAAACAGCAGCCCCACTCTGTGTGCAGCTTCACTAGTTGCACAGTCCATGTGATTGTGTCAGGCCACAGTCTAATTAAACTATTAAAACGCCATACAAAGCTCAAGTGCTGAAGAAGGAAGCAGATGTGGAAAAAAGCAAGGAAAAAAGCAAAAGTTGAGCAAGATTAGGCACATATGAAGCAGAGTAAAAGAAACTGAAATCTGAGGGAAGTATAATGAAGTAATTACAGAAAGACAGTGAATGAAATACAGAAAAACTTTTTACACAGAACAGAAAAGATTAAAAGATCATTCAGTAGAGAAGATGCAGAAAAGAAATAAGAAAGAGGGATTTTATGCATTCCTCATATCCAAGGATAGGGTGTGTTTTAGAAATAGGGTATTTCATTAGAAATCTTTACAGTAATCACATGTTCCACCTCCAGGTATATTGTCTTTTTTGTTTAAAAAATATCTCACATGTTGCTTTTACCTTAGTTCTTAATTTATATTTTCTATTTTGCAGAATCCTTACACTTTTTTTAGCTCTTCTTCAAGGTTGTTCCAATGTGTATCACTAAATAATAACACCTACCACACATTTTCAGTCCAGTTTGGATTTCTTTGTTGATACGTATCAAGTGTACGGCTGAAGAATATCCTAGAATATCAGTAACTTATTTCCTCTGTTCCCTGAACTGTTTCATTCTAATTTTTTTTTTTTTCAGTAGTAGTGGTTACATAAATTCAGGGACTCTTTTTATTCAGTACTTGAAGTTTTCAAGAAGTTTATCCTTTTGTTCCCATTCTCTCTGCTTGGAAACAGTGGTCATGAAAAGAAGCTGTTTAAACCCTTAACTGAAAACATAATAGCAAACAAAGTAAAGAATACCTCTATTGCTCTAGGATAGTCTGTCAAGGCAGGTGCTCTACAGAATCAGCGTAGAGTACTTCCCTTCAATATTCAGAATATTTGAATCTTATCTTTCCTCTTAAAACTAGTGTTTAGTAAGGCTGCTTCTCCCTGTGCTGTTTATCTTTGTGCATTATGTGCTTCAACAGTGAATTGGCCTAATATTTATTTATGCTGAAGCAAGTGATTTTTTTTTTTTTATGATACTATTAGTTAAAACTGCCAGCATGAACTCTCCAGTAGGAACAGTTCTATTAATTATAAATATAGGCTATACTTTAAATCTGCAGAGTTCAAACTTCTCAAAATCCTCGTGGGAAGACATATGCTTGCTTCTGCTTTAAGCAGCAACTTTGTTGTTGCATCATTTTGTTCTGCTAAATAAGAATGTTGTTTTCAAGCTTTTGAAAATTTTCATATGGGTAATGTTGAATATTAAAATTCTCTCTTCTGAGTAAATTCAGACAACTCCCTTTGATTCATGAAAAGTCCCATTTCAACAAAGTACTCAAGAACATGTTGTTGACTCCAGTGAGATTTAGAAGCATAGAAGCGTACTTCGTTTTTAATCACAAGCTTTGATAAAATATTGTCTGCTTAAAGTATTTTAATTCACTATTGTTTTAATTACCATCTTCTTATTCCTTCCATATTGCTACTGGAGACTTACCTATTATGCAAAGCTGTACACAAAACTGTGTTCAGTCTTTAGAAGACGTTTATGGTATCTTTTTATCCTTCTGGTAGATACAGTAAATTAAAAGGTAGGACTTGTTTGAACATCCATTTAAAAAATGAAATTCATGGAGTGTCACTGTAGTATGAATTTGTGTCAAATATCAATTTGTTTGTTTATATATGTCTTATATACTTGGAGAACAATGTAACAGAATATTGCTCAACCTTCAAAACATGATAGCTGGTATGTGTATAATATGCGCATAAAAAGCTGAGCTGTTTAATTTACTTTCAGTAGTATTGAAGGTTAATTGAAGCATATTCTTCACAAATGGAAAACACTAGTACATTGAAATGAAAATTTTTCTCCAGAATACGTTAATATCAATATCTAATTCTCTCCATAACCAGCAGGGTGTATAGCTACTCTTTCTCTGGTCCAACAAGTATTTGGGTATTTTTGAAAATAAAGCACTTGTATTTATAAGCTTGAGATATGTACACCAGGTAGCCTAGGAGTAAAAAATGCCATAAGGTTACTACAAGGAGATGAGCCTAATCTGAATCAAACTAGTAGTTTACCTTTTAAATGGGGATACTTTAACAACCTCATGTATTTGCACTCAGCAAGATAAATGTAAGTCAATTTAACAGAGTAACTCACTTTCATTTGAACACAAAATTTATACAACTGAATGCAAGATAGTGCAGTTACTCAACAGTATTCATAGAGAGAAGCTAATGTGCAGATATGGATTGAAGGATTATTGCATGTACTTTTTGGTGTGACAGATTCCTTGTGGAATATTAAACTAATCATAGTGGTAGTCATGAGAAGTTGCTATAATTATTTTAGTGTGCTCAATCCTGGAACATATTGTAGTTCAATATGTTTAAATAATCATTCTGTAAGAAGGCTGCTCACAAATTTGAAAGGTTTCTGAAAATAATTACAAGAATGTTACAGTTTGGAATACTTTCCTAATATAAGATAAAAGCAGATTAACTTGTGAAAACCAGAAAGGTTTAGATTTGTCTTTAAACACCTTGATGATGGAAAAAAGTATGTGAAATGAAAGCCATTTTTAAATAAGCAGAGGCAGTAAATTAACAAGACTGGAAACTGATAAAACATTAATTTAGAATAATAAAAAAACCCAACAAACCTACTTTGAAGCAATTGAAAGTTTGCGAAAAACTGAAAAGGGAGCAGAACTTATCATTATTTAAGTTCTTTAAATGTAGGTCAGCTGCATGTTCTGGGTTTGATCCAGAAGTCGCTGGGTAAAATTTTATGAGCCTTGAGATTCAGAAGTTCAAAGTAATGGCTCCAATGTTAAAACATGTGAGTCTATAAACCCAAAGTGTTTTGTCATGATATATTCAGCTACAAAGTTAAAGTTGTGTGCTTTCTTATAAAAGCAATAAATTGACCTTTCAAACAAAAGATTGTCTTCCAAGTTGACAGTTGAAAAGCACGTATATCATAATGGTAAGGAATAAAGATCTCACATATGTAGTCTTTACCACACTTGTATTGCCAGTTTGAATATTCCAGCATTTTAAGAGGGTGTTGTGATGGGATACGACATCACTGTAGTTTTAGATTCTGGTTTTACTGAGACATGTTTGATTATGTTAATTAATCTGGCTTTCTCAGTACACAGGATTCACCAGGATGTAATTCATTGAAGTGTGAAACCCCAGAGGCTTTAACCTATTACTAAACACAAAGCTACAAACAGAAGAGAGGTTTTTTTGATAAATGCAATCCTAAAATAGAAAGACCAACTTTAAAATATGGGAGTAAAACTACTAAAAAGAAAAATGTAATTGTTCAGTATTCCTCAATAAGCAACAAAAGGCTTAGCAATGTATTTCAGTATCTGAAAATAGAGAGTCTGTGTAAAAGTGTTTGCCAGTTTTCTCTATAAGAAATAGAGGTGTTCACCACAAGGATGTAGCATAGCATTCTTCAGAATGTATTACCTCAAAAGCGAGTCTTGGTGTAACTAAAATAAATAGGCCTTTTAGTCTGGTTTGCATAACTGTTGGCTGTTGCATTTAATTTCAGGATGCATACAAATTGTTCCTAATTCATAGTTAATTAGATTATCAGCCTTTTAACAAATTGAAACATGAGTGGCAAATTGCATGTGTTCAGATAGCTTTTCTTCTCAAGCACCTTCTATCTTAAGCCTTAATTCTCTTCATTCAGATGGAGTTGCCCAGTTCCAGTAGCAACTGATGTCTTTCTATCCATCGTATGCTAAACCTAACCTCTGGGGAGGTGGGTCATAGCACCAGAAATTAGGTGGTCTGCATTTTACTCTCAGTTTTAGAGCTCATTCAATGTTAATGAGTGGTACATTACAGAATAATAACATGTCATATGTATGTATCAAG